TTGGCGGTAGGGTGCTGTTGACTGGCTGCCATCCCTCTGGCCAGTAGGTAAAAACTAGAAATGGCGGCAGATAGCATTAGAAGCTTTGTCATAAATACAAATTGACTGTTGTTTATGACACTAGCCAAGCTCATGTACGTCTCTGATCTGAGAATCTTGTACAACGTGGGTTTATTCTTGAACTTAAGTAAACAGTTCTCAAGTAGAGTGGTCAGGCTTAGCGTATATAATGTCATTGATAACTTTGGTTTGTTCTGAATTTCGCGCAAAGCTACACGAGGGCTATCTTCGCTAGCCTCCCTAATTTAGCAATGAAAAACTAGAGGGAAGGCAGCTAGTCATCACCACCCACCCTCTTGGGCTACTCTTTTACCAGCGAATAGTGCTTTGACCGCAACATTATAATGCCTCCACGGCTGAAAGGGCGAGCATGTTTGGTGGGACAGGGATTCGAATTCGTGACCCTCAGATTGCGAGTCGAGCTCCCTAATCACATGGCCATTTCAAGCCCTGTCATTGATAAGAACAGTTAGGTTTAGCCTATATAGTGTCATCAGGAAGAGTGGTCAGGCTTAGCCTATATAGTGTTATTACGAAAGGTGTCCAGGTTTAGTCTGTATAGTGTTATCAAGAAGAACGCTCTGTCTATATAGTGTTATCAAGAAGTGGTGGTCAGGCTTAGCCTATATTGTCATCAATAAGAGTAATCAGGATTAGCCTATATAGTGTCATCAAGAAGAGTAATCAGGCTCAGTCTATATAGTGTTATCAAGAAGTAGTGGTCAGGCTTAGCCTATATTGTCATCAATAAGAGTAATCAGGATTAGCCTATATAGTGTCATCAAGAAGGGTAATCAGGATTAGTCTATATAGTATCATCAAGAAGTGGTCAGACTTAGCATATATAGTGTCATCAAGTTTAGTTAGGTTTAACCTGCATAATGTTATCAAGATTAGTTAGGTTTAACCTGTATAGTGTCATCACAAAGAGCGGCCACGACTTTTAAAGCGGGTTGATATCACCAAAAGATCTGGCTATACGTAAAAGAATATCATTCGATACCAACCTGCTAAGAAGAACTAGAAAGAAACACATTCTTCAAAGTGACGGCACGAGTTCCACCCATACAAGAGTTTTGGTTTCTTTCAGACATTCGCGCAAAACTATACTAATACCGTCTGCACAAGTCTTTTTAATTTAGAACTGATAAATTAGCAGGAATAGTGCTTGTCAACTAAACCCACCACCAACTCTTGGGCTACTCTATTCAAATAGTGGAATTTGACCATCACACTTATAACCCACCCAAGGCCCCCAAGTGTGCAGTGTAACTTTGTGACAACAGAAATCGAACCATGAACCTTCGGATTTACAGTTCGGCAAACTAACTACTAGGCCCGTGTAGAAAGAGAAACAATATTCAAAATGACGTCACAAGTTCTAATCTGCATTTATAAAATTTCGAAAGGAACTGAAATAAATAATAAGATATATTAAAAAAATCCTGCTGTTGATTACTTGAGAGAAAAGTTAAAAGTGCACGTACACAATTATCTTTCACATTTCTGATGCCAACTGGTACTACCGCTTAGCCTTAACAGTCGTACAACTGCTTTATGTTATGTATCGATACCTAATGAAGGAATGACCCAGTACTTAATAACAGTAAAAATCTTCTAAAGGATCAAGTTTCTATTTTTTTTTTTTTGACTCATTTACTTTTTGTTACAGTACACCAGAAGGAACGTGATCAGGACCGTAAAAGACAGTTCGTCTTCATTTGGTTGGTTTCCAAATCGAGTGTAGCTGTACCACATTACAGTTGGGTGACAGCCACATGCTCGACAAACGTGGGGCTGGATAATCTTTCTGAAGGCCGATTTTCTTGTTGTCCCCATTTAATTTCTGATACGTGTCGTCGAGTGTCTTTCTTATGTATTTATCGATGTTCATCATAGTTCAGGTGGCTGGCGTAACAGAGCTCGTGGGTACAGTGTAAGTAACCGAGGCCGGAACTTCAGAGATATATATGGTGACAAGCGATCTGTATCCGTTTGTCCCACTGTCCACCAGATACGCTGTAGTAAACAAAAAAGGGCAAATAACGTGCGGACTATTTTATGCTACAGTATGTAGACAGTTGAAATTAACCAAATCACCCATATCTATGGTGCTGCAACTGTGCGGAATAATACATACGAACAGAAAGCTGAATTCTGCTGTTTTATAAAATAAATAATTTTTAATCAGTCCTCGTGACATTTAGGTTTATAGTACACAGTAGTTTTCGTGAATAACGTCGATATAATACCGTTGGTTGATCTGTCACGGTTTTATTTTTCTTAGTGTACATTTTATGTTGCGGTTTAGATAAATCTCCAAGGCAAATCACGAAGTCCGTTACGCCATTTGTTGCTATACAATAATACCAGCTTAATGAGTCTATGAAGGCAATTATTCTCACCTATTTTGTTTTGACATCATCACCATATACATCAAATAACAGGTAAGAAGCCTAATGCTGATTTCACGAGTAGGGGGGGGTATTGTATGGATCAGTGGCGGGAAAGAGAAAAACGTAAGAAAAGCCTCTACGTTCATAAAAATAATTCTTTCTTTCTTAATCATCCCTTTACATATTCCACGAGGAATTAGAAACTTAAAACCTATTCGGAGAGATCAAAGCGAAGCTACCCACTTGTAACCTTGGCTCTCATACGGAGAGGTCGACTGACCTCGTGAGCAGCTGTTGTTAAAGTGACACGACCGAGCCGGGAGCAATGGGGATAGTCTCCTAGAAAGCAATGATCACGTACGAGTTCACACCTGTCCATCCAGTCACGACTATTTGTCCGCTTGTCTACTGATTTGCAAGTGCTGTCAAAAAGGTTGGATCGTTTGGGGTGCAGAGGTAATATCATTGAAATGTTACGTCTCTCCATTTCTCGATACCCCTATATTCCCATTTCTCATACTCGATACCCCTATATTTCCATTTCTCATAC